CTTCATCCTAGGACCCTTCTGGTTTTGTGGACCTGTGGCTAATATGTTTTCAATACATGCTGCATGGAGTAGAAATTTATAATGCATTTGAATGATGAATATACAGATATATCAAAAAACCGAAACAAAATCAGGGAAAACTAAAGGGATAGTTCTTTCATCCAGAAGCCCTCAGCAGGTATTGCCATGTGTGTTTGTCATGCAACACTCTAGACTTTTTTTTTTTTTTTTTGGTACCAGGAATTGAACTCAGAACCTTGCACTTGCCAGGCAGGCACTAATGCCACTGAACTGTATCCCTGGCCAATACTCTAGACTTTAGAGATGCAGCAGGCAAGAGCCTTCTCCTCCGGGAGCCCACTGTTGGTAGAAAGAGAAGATGAATCAACAGATAATGCTATAAAGTACTCAAGGTACTAATGTAGAAAAATCCACAGCCCATGAAAAGGGGAGAGAAAGGAGGGAGGGTTAAGATCCCTTTGCAAGGATCAAAAGAGGCTGCTGTATGTGTCAATACTCTGAATTTTAAGTGACAACAAATATGACTCAAATTAGCTTGAGCAAAAGAAAGATGCATTAGCGTACTTCAGGAAGTCCAGGAATCTTTCTGACTTCATGCTTGAGTAGATCTGGACCTAATCAGGATCTTGCTTTCTCTGCTTTTCAACTCTTCCTTTGCCTGCAGGATGACTTTGTTTTCTCTAAAACAGTGTAACGCGTTCCTTCCTTGTGGCTTGGAAAACTTGCCACTCAAATATGCATCATCTCAGTCTAACCGTAGTGGAAAGGAAAGATGTTTCCCTTCTAATGTTCTTGTGTCTCTCCCTAAAAATATCTCTCCTACTTGAGTCTCTTAGCCACCCTTTACATTGCTCACTTTTGCAAAGAGTTGAGCAGCATGCTGGGCTTAAGCAAGCTGACTTGCTAGCCCTGCTGGCAAAGATGACCTGAGGTGTATGTGACTAAGCATGAATGATATTCCCACAGGGTTTATTGTTAGATAAGTTCCCCCAAAGGAAGGAAGACAGAATGGATCAAAATTGACAGGTGATCACTATAGCTTCATTGATTTTTAAGCTGTGCTGTCAGTGATGAATAGTTTTTGTTAAATGAAGCAGTAAGAGACATTCATTATTGTTAGAAGAAGCAGGGTAAAACCAGAAAGATATCAATCAGTGTCCCAGGTCAGTCTCCCATTTAGTAGTTGTTGAGGTTGGAGCATATGGTTGGGGTCACAGTTTGAGAAGCTGAGAGACAGACAGGCAGTGAAGAGACATTCTAGGTTTTAGGCAAGAGGTGGAGTGTCCAGATTTCCAGTAGAATGTTGTTCTGGGAGCAGTATAAAGGCTGAATTGGAGAAACCAAGGCTTGGAGATCTGAAGACCGGTAAAGAAGCCATTGCAATAATCCAGATGGAGATCATATATAAGCAATTAGGTTATTTGGAATGTTAAAATCCTAACTAGAATATTCAACATGTGCAGGTGTGGAGATAAAGGGGGAATATTAAGGAAGTAAGAAAGGATTTTAATGGAGAAGCAAAATATGTGGAAAATAACAAGGAGGCTCAGTGGGGCTTTGTCCTTCAAGAAAGTGAGTGTTTGAGATGGCTGAGAGATCTGATTTCAGTAGTGCCATTTGCTCAGATGAAGAATGTAGTCAAAGAAACCTGTGTTGATGCAGGGGTGGGGGCTGCCCGAGATGACTGCACATGCTGCTTTGAGGGAGTGACCCTGCAGGGGTAGCAGGTCAATGTCCAGATGTGGATTGAGGGGAGAGAGTACAGTTGTGGAGTTGATGAGAGTGAAGGGCGTGTGCGTTACTGGTTTTGTCTTGATTAAGGAAAGGAGAAATACGGTAAACAGGCTAGCCAGGTGAGAGCACAGTTCAGACCTCAGCAGTTTAAGTAGGCAGAGTCCCAAGGCGCATTCCTTAGTGGTGTCCTATTCACGCTTAATGTAATTTGACTCACACCTGTCACCTAAGGCTGTGTATCTAATCTCTTAGCCAATTAGGAATGACTTTGGGACTCAGCCTGATCACTATGGAGGAGGACCCAGCTGGACAAAGAATCCTCCATCAGCTGTTGATAGCAAGTTCAAGGTCTTGTCCAATCAGAACATGGATGCGAACATGCTAATGCCTCTGCTGGTTGTGTATGTTAATATCTGTTTGGTTCATTGGGGATATAAATGAGCTCCACTTTACCACTTCCTCGTTATCGCCCATCCTACACCAGCACTCTTCTGATCTGTAGGCTCAAAGCCAAAGCATCCCTTTTCCTCATTCCCTAAATCCTGTTAGCCTTTCTGGTTCTTATATTTTTCCTTCTTTTTTCATGTTGATTGGTATAGCTCTAAGTTTAGGGGGGCTTGTTAGACCATCTATCCCTTCTGTGTGAGGGGTGAATGTAGCATCTTCCTAAGACACTTCATGATCCTTTTAATCTTGATGTTAACAGACGATGGCCCATGTGCCAATCTGGCCTCCATTTATGTTTGTAAATAAAGTTTTATTAGAACACAGCCACACTGGTCCATTTATATATTGCCTGAGGCTGCTTTTGAAGTCCAGTGGCAGCAGTGAGGAGTTGTAGCAGACTGGACTTCCCAAAAAACCGAAAGTGTTTACCAATGTTGAAAATGTCTACTCTTTTATCAGAAAAGCATCTCAGTCCCTATACCCTTCTTTTGTGTGACAGATTAGTGTCCCTAAAATACTATTTCACTATATCATTTCTGTTGAGAAAACTGCAATAATACTGCATTGTCCACACAGTACAATTCAGACTTCTTAGTCTGGATTCAAGACCTTCAGTACTAGTCTAGTCCTAACCAGTCTTTGGAATCATCCCAGTTAGTTTCCCCCTTAGTGTTCTTGGGATATGCAGTATATTCCTATCCTTGTTCTAACAGTTTCCTCTTCTTGGGATGATTTGCTGTTATTCTATACATACTTAAATTCTCTCCATTCTTCAAGGACACATTTGAAATTTATATCTGTCTTGACCACATTAGTTTACAGTGATCGCTGACTAATCTTCTGCTGTTGCATGGGATGGGCACCACAGAACCCATCTGGTAGTGTTTCTCCTGATCAGGGAATGGTTCTCCAATATTATGATAGGAATTTTCCATATGAATGAAGGCACAGGGGGGGAAAAGCCTAGGAAGGGTTTGGAAATAACAAGACATGTGGTCAGAACACAAAGCCATCGTTTAACATTTGTGGAAGAACTGAGTCATCAACATCTTGTATCCATGACATATTGTATCTGTTCTGGATTTAACTGTAGATGATTAGAGAGGGTGGATATGACCAAGATATATTTTATACTTTGAAGCCCAATAGTTTATGAAATTAGAAGGCACTAATAAAATAATTCTAAAATAAATGTATAAAATAAATGTAAATAGTTATAAAATAAATGCATGCTGTGGTGTTCATTGTGAATGAGTCCTCTTGAGAATCCCTCTGACACATGGTAGATTGTCCTCAAGACTTGGCTTATCATGTGGTGCCCCTGAGATGTTGGACAGGTGGGCTTTTCCCATCAGTCCTTACTTTTCTCTTATAGTATCCTGTAGGCTATGGTTTTGGCATATTCTGGGATTAAATAGCATCAATTTATTGGAGTCCTTTGGTAAATGGTAAGTTCCTAAAATATTCACAAGTCTAATTTGATTTTAATATTATATTCTAGTGATTCGTATTATGAGCTAGTGTTTCTTAAAGTCTGTGCTTTGCATAGAAAACTTTCATTATAATACAAATGATTATTCCACTGATTTGAAGAGCGCGAGTGCAGTCACATCCCCAGAAACATGGCATGACACAAAAACCAGAGCTTCTGTTAACACTCAGATGGCCACCAGGCTTTCGTATCATTGTCTTCCTCAAGATTTGCTGTTGAGTTGTACAAAACATTATGTCTTGGCTGACAAGACTCTTCCTGTACCTGTAAGTAAAGAAAAATGATCCAAGTGTTGTACACATCTCATTAAAATACTCATTCTCTGGAAAGAAAGTGTTAAAAGCAAGCTATTTAAGGCAGACATTTCTCTTTTTATGAATTACATTTGTATAATGTTTACTGTCTGCAGTAGAGAAGTGTGGAGAAGAAGAGTATAGAGATTATAATGGTGAATACCAAGAAAATACACCTCTTTGAATCCAGTTTCTAGGCATTCCCTAGAAGTAAACAGGCATCAGTAAGAATAGCAAATAACAGTGCTTGAGTGCTTACTACATGATAGGCATTGTTGTGGGCCCTTGGCATATATCATCTCATTTAATCCACACTCTAGTCCTATGTTTTGGGTAGAGTTATTATCTCTACTTTATGCAGGAGAAGATTGTGTCGAGGAGGCTAAAGAACTTTCTAGAAGTTCCATAGGTAGCAAGTGGGAGGGCTGGGAGTTGCACCCAGACTTCATATTTCCCACATCCTCAGTGAGCCCCGCCCACATGAAATGCTTCTCCCAGGGCTCCTTTAAGGAAAGACCATCCCTCTCATTTGCATTGTCTGATATGCCCAACTGAATGATTTCTCCCATCCAATTTGCAATTACATCTTATTCCTTATGTATATGATTTTGACCAAAGAAATCTAACCATGTCTCTTGGATTGAGACATATTTATTCTTTGTCTCCAGATTAACATTGAAAGCACAGGATTTGTGTGTGTGTGTGTGTGTGTGTGTGTGTGTGTGTGTGTGGTGTGTAAACTGCCTTTTCTTGTGGATTAAATTGTTGCAGCCCGGCTGAGTGAGGTGCATTTCTCCCACTGGCCGAGCCCACCGCAGACATGTCAGGAGGATGCTGCTTGCCACACACCCAGCGACGGTGGGGCAGGTGATGCTGCGAGTGTGTCCAGCATCTCTGGAAGTGACTGCACAGATGTGTGCCGCTTTTGCCTCTGCTGCCTGCCTTCGCATCCCAGGAGCCAACACCCACCCACTCTGACAGCCTCTCTCTCTTTCTCTCTCTTTATTTTCAAGGAAAAAAGAAAGAGGCAGACGGAAATAGAAGGCAAACGGCAGCAGCTTGAGGAGCAGGTACTCCTGCTGCAGCATTCCAAGGTAAGGGCTGATCCCACGAACCCATGCTGTTAGTAGCCATGCAGCTCACACTCCAGAGAGCTGGGCAGAGCCTGCCCTGCTGCCGAGGCGCTGCGCTGCCTGCTCCAGCCTTTTTCACTCAGCCAGGGAACCATCTCTGGGCTTTGCTTCTGAATTTCTCAGATCCGGGGCATCATTATAGCATTCTGATTTCTGCAAGCATGAGATTACAGTGTGCATGTGGACGGGTTGCAGGGGGTATGTGCATGTGGAATGCGGTTATATATAGAAACTGGATGAGAATACTCCACACAGTCTAGAGCTGATTTTCCTGTACATTGGCTCAGAGGCTCCACAAGAAGCATTTCACACAATGCACTTTTAACATTTTAAAATATCTTTCTTGGCATGGAAAACAAAAAGGGAACATAAAACTGTGACCTAATTTTAATAAAAAAACACTGTGTGTTTTGGATAATTCATTTATTTTATTTCTATTTTAACAGTTTTGGAAGTGTTAGAAGCAGCAATTGGTCAAAGGTAGCTTTCCAATGATTTGACTTGGTGAGCCTCCACTGCATCATATTAAAATGAGAGGGAGAGAACTCTTTTATTTGTTTATTTTCTTTAAGACACAATGCACTTAAGCACTGTAATTGATTGCAGCCCAGGAGAAAGCTCTGTCACTGTCACCATGACTCCACTGGTTGCTGAACGTTGCTTTCTGCATGTTCAGAGAATAATGTGACCACGTTCCACGGCCAGCAGGGAGTTGCTGCTTGCCTTCAGCTGCTCCTGGGCTTCTTTTTTAGGAAACCTGTCTGCTGCCTGCGTCAAGTTGCTGTGACCTTGTGTGTGCAGAATTGCTTTGCTCAGAGGACTGCTTAGGAAGGTGGCGCTGACCCTCAGGGCAGTGCTATGTATGGATTGTTTGGACTTTTAAAAACAAGGTGAACCTTTACAGTTGTGTTTCCTATCTGTCTCTAAAGAACAGGCTGGTGCTAAATGAATGCTCCAAATGAGAATCAGGGGCAAGTTATTGCCTGATATCAAAGAGCAGCATGACCTATATCTGCTTAGCTTTCTTATCAGTTTACCATGAACTTTAACTAGAGAAATGTGTTTAAAAGGAGGAAAAGCAGCATGAGACTGAGAATAGCATCCATCTCTCTCTGTTCATCACATAAATCTGTTTTCAGACCTTTCTTTGTGGAAGCCTGCACTATTTCCCATATGCTCTTACTGTTTCCTGACAAATTCCTGAGGGAGGATTGAGGCTAAAATTAGCATCCTTTCCATAAAGACAGGAAGGGGATTAAAAACAGTAATAAAACTGAGTGAATTGTTCAAGGTCATTCTGGGCAGAGCAGGGTCTCTGGCTCAGAGTGCAGTCAGTTCACTCCTGTGAGAGATGAACATGTACTTATACCTTAGTAAATTATTGGTTAAAAGGTGAACTTTTTAATAGGAGAACTGAATGAGTAAGAAAGGCTGTTTTTGACTAGACAGCCTCTCCACTCTTCAATCCAGGGTAGTTCTCTGCTTTTGTATTCCTGGAATCCAAATTTAGTCAATGAACTTATATCAAAAACCAAGTCCTTTTTCTCCCAGTTCTCATCATTTTGGATGCCAAGTAAGATACCGTGGATTCATTCATTACTGATGTCTAGCATAGTGTTCAAACAGTCTATGCATATTCCATTTATCCATTCTTCATCTGTGCGTCCATCCATCCAGCCATCCAGCCACACAGCCAGCCAGCCATCTGTCCAGCCAACCAATCAACAGAAGAACTGATAAAAAGGACTTAGTTTTGCAATAAAAAGCAAGACATTCTTTCAAGGACTTGGAAACAAGGGCACCAGAGTTCTTTCTGAAATTGGCTATCTAAGGTTACACCCAACACTGTCACCAATGTAATCTTGCTGTGTCTGGGGTGGGGGAGGACTAGAAATGACTATAACTTAGTAAGCATTACTTTCCCATCTCTCTGGGAAAGGCTTGTGTGGATAGCATGAAGATGAATTATCAGTCTTGAACAATAAAAAAAGCTCAGAGGCTCCAAAGGTGCGAGTGTGTATCTGGTACTCCTGGAGAGAGGGCCACCAGCTCTGGGGTTCTCTGCACTGTGGAGTCAAGATTGGCGGACAAGGCTGGGACAGTCATTAGGCCGCATCATGTCCCAGGTGAAATTTCCCTCTTAGATTTGCCCCTCTTTGTTCTGAGCACATGTTACCTAAAATGACATTATTTTGATAGAAAGCACAGGGTGCCTGATGAAGAGATGAAAGGAATATGTTCCCAGGGAGAGTTCAGTTTCCAGTTCAGCCTCACCAGTCTAAGGAAGTTGGTTCACTGAGGTTATATTTCCTCCTCTGGAAGCTTCTCAGAGCCAAGCAGCTTTCCCTGGTTGTGCCGCAGCCTTGTGATCTTCTTGTCCACTCTTGCTAGTGGCCATCGGTTTTTTCAGCACCTAGAATGTGCTGGTACTTGGAATACACACCCTCAGTAGTGTTGGCAAGATAGGTGTTATTCTTCCCATCTCGCAGGGATGGAAACAAGTTCATGAGATCCGGTATTTTGCCCACGGACATTTCACCTATACAAGCAGAGGAGCCCAGGGTGAACCCCAGGGCTATCTGCTTTCAGAGACCAGGCTCTTCCCAGATGCTGTTCTCATTAAAGAAAGTGTTTCCTTTTGAGTAATTTGTCTAGAAAGACGCCAACTACCATCACCACTGTCTTTCTTACCCTTAGTGTGTTGTCATGGATTTCAGAAAATTTAGACCAGACAGAGGCATATCCCCAACATTATTAGGGAAAATATTAGTAAATATGTCACTAGTTAATATTTATTTCATTAACTTACAAAATTCAGGATGCTGTCATCAAAAAAGAAATTCTGGCCAAGCAAAAATAAATGGAAAAGCATTAGAGTGCTGGGTTTGAGCACTAGAGTTGGGTTTGATATTTAATATTTACTAATCTCATATTGTAAAACTGCATTCTATATGTGTGTCTCCCTTATGACAATTATATTATTATTCACAGTTATATCATTGTCCACTATATAATGGAGTGAGATATGAACTACTTATGTAGATTCACTGTTCTTTTTTCAAAGCAAATAAATAGAATGCAGGTATAGTTCTGACACTTGTATGTTAATATGCTTGCTAATTGCAAATTTCAGAGTACACAGCAATTCTACAGAATGGAATATTGTTACTTTAAATATGGATTACCATGAGCACATTCTTAGTGAAGGACAAAAGGTTAAAATATTAACCTCAGTAATAAAGAAGTCTTGAGATACATTAGTTCCTGACCAAAGTAAGTTTAGATTTCTTTTTAGAAGATGCTTAGCTGTATTTAGTGGCTGGTATTTTTGATGTTAAGAATTCTTAAGACTTATTCACAAATGTAATCACTAAGTAATTTTAATAGTTGTATTAGTTTTGCTTATTATAAAGTAAGGCATGCATGGTCATTGCAAAACCTACACTTAAAAGTACAAGGCATGTCAAAAAAAATACCAACTTTATACTCGCCACCCAGATACGAACCAGATATGACAGGGTATACACGTCTGGGTTTTTTCCCAACAGATTTCTTTAGATTAAGGTATTCAACCCTTGTCTCACAGATCTCATCAGCCAGTGGATAAAATAAAATAGCACTTACCTTTAACTTTGGGTTTTGTTTTTAACTTCCCATACACAAACTTATAATTTTTATGAAATTCTATCTAACAACATTTTACCTTATGATTCCTGACTTGCATATCAGCCTCAAACATGTTTCCATCTCAAACATTTACCTGTAAAGCTTCTACTTCAGTAGTTGTCTTTCTGTGTTATCTTTGTTCCTTTAGTTTCTTGAGGCAAGGTCTGGCTGTGTGGTGTGGTGCAGGTGCTGAACTCACTGTGTAGATGAGGCTGGCCTCGAACTCGCAGTGATCCGCCTGTCTCAGCTTTCCAAGGGCTGAGATTACAGGCAGGCAACTTCAGTAGTTTTAACCCATCTAGAATTTGTTTTTCTATAAGGTTTATTTTACTTATATTTTATTTATATTGAAGATGATTTATTGATTAATTTACCTTCTCCCTCACTGATTTAAATGTCATCTTTATCACATACATAATTCACCTTCATACTCAAGGATTATTTTTATTCCACTAATCTATCCCTTCCTGACTCAGTCCTGTTGTTTAATCCCCATAGCTTTTTAATATATAATTTCATAAGGCAAGAGCTATCATTATTCTTCTTGTGAAAAACCATCTTGGTTTTTATTCCACAGAGACAATTATTTATTTTTATTGTTTTTATAATATGACTTGTGATAATGTGAGTTTAAAGAAAATAAATCAATGACTGTGTTCTGCTGGAACAGACTGAACTTAATACTCCCTTTTGCCCTTTGGTTGATTTGTCTATTTTATGGGTCCGTTCAAAGTCCCATCATGGAGTCTGAGCTCTGTCGGAATTGTAACATGTATTCCTTCGGGACCACCACATTTATGCAGCTTTGTCTGACACAATCATCACTGTCAGAATCAAACTGCTAATATCACAGCTTCAGTACATACGCTGTCTTTGAATTACTTATTCATGAGCAAGGGAGCCGGATTAGAGTTTTCTTCCAATGCAAGCTTGAAAATTGTAGTTATATTTTAAAGAGATGGCCAAAGGAAGCAAAGAGTAAGGCCTGCATTATGACCTGGAGGAAAAATATTTATTGCTAACCCACCAAGGTTATGTACTAAATAGCCCAAAGGTAGCAGGAGCCTTGCTATAAAGATATTAACAGCGTCTTTCACAATATTTTAATTTTTTGCTGCTAAGGACCAAACCCAGGGTCTTCTGTTGCTAGACAAACATTCTACCACTGAGCCAAATCCCCAGCCTCTCTTTCACCATTTTGAACAACTAATTTTTGACTTTTCTTGGTCCTTAGTATATGTGAAAGGCAAATTTTAAATATGAAAACATTCAACAGATAGGCATAGTACGCCTTGTAAAAGAACTTCACATCTTATCCTTTTTCCTATTGCATCTCTCCTGGCCCCATAAACAGTTTTAGAGGAAAGTAAAACTTCATTTAAGTCCTGGGCTGGCTTTTCCTAGTGTGGGGTAAATTAGGTAACAAAACAAGATTAAACCAAGATCTTGTTGGGCATCAAAGAGGAAGAAGGAAAAGATTAGAGGGTTAGAAAGAGATGACATGAATGAATGCATGATTCAGAAGTCCATGGAGACCTAGTACTACTCCTGATTCATATTTTACTTTCCTTCTCTGTCCATCGCACTGTGCCCGACACTTCTCACTGCTTAGATTACCTCAAAAAATTGCTTCACATCAATTATTTATAGGTGAGAAAGAGTTGATTAGACATCTCTAAGTTGTTTTAAACTTTATTAGTCTCAGATTTTATATTTGCTAAAATGAAGTATGTATACCTAATTTTATAATAATTCACTCTTTCAACATGTATCCATTATGACCAGCTACCACTCTGCCATTTTATTCATGGAAGGAAAAAAAAGATACAGCACCTACCTGACTTTAAGAGATTCAGGAATGAGGGGTTGGTCCATCAATATGGAACCCACTGTTAGAGAATCTTGGTCACTGTTCTTCATATTAGGCTGAATCACAGGAGTGCCTGATGAGTATGTAAATCTTATTTAGGTGGTTTTTGGTGCTGAGGGTTGTCTACAGAGCCGACTTTGTATGCTATGCCCCTAGTTTTTGGAGAATGATTCTTGAGTGCTCTTATGTGGAGGCAGGAAGAGAAGAGCCTGCCTACAATCACTTTAACAGTGCAATTAACAATGCCCTCCCTATGAACAAATTCCTGTCTTTAAGTCTATATGAGAAAATTATTGGTCCAGTGTAATAAGTTTGCATCTCTATGCACTGTAAGAATAACTGAACAGATCTCTACAGTGACTTATAATTAACAGACAGAAAAACTCATGGCTGGCTAGATACCCACTGATGATGCATTGCTCACAAGGGGTTCGTCTTGCAAGCGCGGGATTGTAGCAGCATTGAACTTGCTCCTGGGGGCAGCAGGCTCACCATGGTGATGAATGACAGGCTGCCGGGCTTTCTCTGTAGAATACTGAATCAATTCCATTAGTAAAATCTAACTTACTATTATTCTGCACTGGTAACTTAAAAACTCATTTTGTAGGTTCCTAATAAGTAGCCCATCATCCAACAAATAAATGAGAGTGTATAGAATTGTGCGTCTTTTGCTCCCTATAACTACAAAAAGTCCACTCCAAGCCAGCATGCAGTGGCTCTCAGTCACTATAGGCACTCTCTGTACTCACACTTACTTTCCTGTCTAATAAAATCAGACAAAATTCTTGGTAGACGTGATAGCAGAGATTCTGGAAACCTGGTCTTACTCGATGTTTGTTGGCGTCATAGCTTTTATTCCTGTTGCCCCTCTGGTGGTTCACTAACGCTAGCAAGGATTGGCCACCTGCCCTGAGTCCTCAGAGGGCTCCATTCTCATCACCACTGTGTGCTCTCTCTGGTCCTCAGCTGTGGCGCACAAGGCCTGGTTTCTGTGGACATTTAGTCCCTGCTCTCTGCCATCTCGGGGGACATACAAATGGAGACACTCCCTCACCGGCCTCTCTTTGCTGTTTGGACTAGGGAGTTTAGCATGCCTTCCTTTCGAGCTGTTTTCATCTGCCCTCTCAAAGCACTAATGGTTCCCTCTCAATCACTGACCTGAAACAAAAACTTTTTATTCCACTCCATGGCCTATTAGTCCTCCGGCACTGGTGAGGCATATGATTTTACTGATATTGGAGATCACTAAAAGGTTTTAAGGAAGACAGATGGCAGATTAATCTTTTTAAAAAGAACTTTTAAATATGGACTGGCTATTAGGCAATTAGGAAATTTTACAGTGGAAACATAGTTGCATAGAAAAATGTCCTTATTTTTTAAAGATGTCTATTTTATACTGAAATATTGGCGAGTGAAATGGCATAGTGTTTGACATATACTTTACAATATAGTGTTGAAAAATATATAGGAAAATACAGCAAAATATTTATAATTGTTCTAGATGAAATTATGTGGGTATTTATTATTATACAATTTACTCTATTTTTCTGTTTTTTCAATAATGCAAAAAAAATAGATATCAGTAACTTTCTCAGGGCACACTTTCCACAGATAACTACATGATTGTTCCTTACTTTCTATAGGTCTCTGTTTAAATGTTATTTATCAATAGGCCTTTTGGCCACATCCTATAAATAAATTTATCTACATCCACCTAATCGCTCTCTGTATGCTCCCTATCTCTTGCATGGCCCAGTACCATCTTGGGGAAAAATATATGTGCTGTGTATAAACCTACAAACCTCTGTGTGTGTGTGTGTGTGTGTGTGTGTGTGTGTGTGTGTGTGTGTGATGCCTCTCTGTTGTCTCTTGAGTAAAACAGAAGTTGTATAAAGCAGGAAAATTTTGCTATGAGCTCTCAGTAAGTATTTAACTGAATAAAAAGAAGACATAGAAGTAAAACCCAAGGCAGGGAGTAAGTGAAAGCAACCACTCGAGTGAGCCCTAGTGAGGGACAGAGCTGAAGTAGCAACCCTGGAGATGGAGAGGCGAATGTGGATGGAAAAGTGACATCTTGTCTGTTGTCTTCCTTCATTCCCACAGTCCAAAGTGCTTCGGGAAAAATGGCTGCTTCAGGGTGTACCCGCTGGAACAGCCCAGGAGGAGGAAGACAGGCGGCGGCAGTCTGAGGAGGATGAGTTCAGAGTCAAACAACTCGAAGACAATATTCAGAGGTAGGTCATTTCCAGCCCTGGGCTCCCAAGCTGCAAGTGTCCATGCAGTGACCACTACTCTCCTCCAGGGGGCGTTTCTCCATGCTGCTATCTTTTCCCAGCAGCGGTCCTAAACTGGTCACACTCCTATCATTTAACTTTTCCACATGGTCTGTATTACCCCAAGTACTGATGGTTACATTGGCCTATAGTACAATTACAGTGATGTCTTTCTTATGCCAGTAAGGTGCGGTGAGCAGCTTACCTCTTTGCACTGAGTGCTTGTGTCAGCTTTTGACTTTTTCCTCTTTGGGGCCAGGCTGTTAACAATCCTTGCCACCGTAGCGGGTCTCTTTATAGATTTGCTACATGTGATCAGTCTGTGTGAGAAACTGTAGCTGAGGGTCTTGGGGCTGAAATGAAGCCTATAGTGAAGAGCTGGCGAGGGCCCCTCCGTAGGTGGCTTGCCTGGCTCTGCAGCTTGAATCTGTACTGTCTGCTTGCTTCCTTCTGTTTGTCATGTCCAGGATCTGATCATTTGATTATGCGAGGCAGGTGACCTGATTGTGACCAACGGTATCCAGGGGCAAAACACAGGTTTGCACTTAAGAACTGTTACCATCTTGGATCCCAGGACACTTAGCCAGAGACTGAAGCAGGGGTAGAAGGTGGTGAATACAGAGGTCTTTAGGGCCAAATTTACTCCTCCAACAAATCCCACCAAATTCTGCCTCAACGGCACACTTCAGTGTCTGTACCTACTGTAGTTAGGCCCTAGTGCCCTCTGAAGAGTATTTAGAGTGTTTAAATCAGCATGGCTAAACTACACATTGTGGAGGAAGTGGGCCAAGGAGAGGTTGGGAGAAGGAAGTTTTTCATATACACACACATACATAAGTGGATAATACACATTTTCTTAGAATGCCAAGAAGGACTAAACTGTAATATCACACACACACACACACACACACACACACGTGCATACATGAACATAATTATATATAAGAGAGAGAGGAGAGAAAGATATTATAGATAGAAGGTAATAAATAATAAAATAATTTGGAACATAGCATACAATGAATTATGTGACCTTTTCTAATTTTTCATGTCTAACTTTTCATGGTCTTCCAACCAAATTGTCAGTTTCACCTTGGTGTAATGATCCAGCAGGTATAACTCTCCCCACAGGCTCAGCCATGTCCCTTACAGCCCAGAGTTCAAAATGGGAACTTGGTTTGTCTACATTGATCACTGGACTGAGGTGTAAGAATTAGGGGCTGGCACCGGCCCAGACTTAAAGGGAGGCTCAGCCCCTTGCCCAGTTCATTGACCTCTGCTGGATCCTCAGTGGGCTCACCAGGCCCAGCCTAAAAGCTAGAGTGTCTCCAAGCTCTGCTAAAGCCATCCTGGGCCCCAGGAAGGAAGAAAGGCCCTTTTCCCAGGCTGCCACCACTCTCCTCCCAACCTTTCCAAGCAGCAGCCCCTGCCCCTTACAAGGCCTGGCCCAGGGTTCTTGCTGGTCCTCTACAGGCTTTAGCTATCCAGCCCTATTCCCTTCATGGGGCCAGGCCTGGCAGGGGTGGGGGTGGGGAGAGCTCATTTTCCTCCCACAGCCCCCTCCACACCTCAAATACAATTTCTTGGTCCAGCCTAGCAAATCTAGGCCACATAATGACCTCAGAAGGTCACTGCAAAGCCTGCATCGGCACCACAGAGTGGGTGGGGGAAGGCTGCTGGGAGCCTCCGTATGCTGCCCTCCAGGCCTGCAGAGGGACAAGGCCTGCAGCTCCCTGCTTCAGATGTTTCCGCAGCCGCCATCCCCAGTCTCTGCTGAGACCCCGCCTTGATCTGTGGGCAGAGCCAGCCCACAGCTGATTGCCACTGACTCAGCCTCCCTCATGGAGCTAAGCACAGCAGGGATGAGCGGAAAGAATGTACCTATGGATATGTACATATCAGTGCAGTAATCTTATATGCAGCAATCATGCAAACACATGTATGGATCTTATTAGACGCACATATAAGCTTATTTTTAGGAAACAGTGCACCACTGCTTCAAAAAGAATTTGGGGCTAATTTGTTGTATGTTGGACATGATCATACTCAGAAAAATAAAGAAAATCTCTTTTTTTATCTTTTTATCTATCTATGAGCTTACTCAGTGCATGCAGAGAATCACTTTGAGCCCATTTCAGAGAGAGATATCTAAGCAGGAAGGAAAGAATGCATAATAACCTAAAGGGGTGGGTGGTTTGTTCTTGTTGTTTGTTCTTATCTTGCCATGGCCTCGCCCCGAGTTGACCTTCTGGGCACTGGATGTATGTGGAGGGTGGGGCAGGCTGCCTTCTGAGGCTGTCTATGAGCAGGGTTGCTGTCTTAGTACTTTTCTTGCTGGTAAGGCAAAAATCCAGACACCCAAAGTTAAAGGAGGAAAGGTTTGTTTTGCTCACAGTTTTTAGAGGATTCAGTCCATAGTCGGAAACTCCAAAGCAGGGTGCACACAGGCATCCCAGAGGAGAAACAGTCCACAGCAAGCAGGCAGGAGAGAGCGAGGCAGCAAGCAGCAGCAGCCAGCCTGCCTTTCCTTTTTCCTTTTGTATTCCGTCTAGGATGTCAGTCTATGGATTAGTCTGCCTGTGCCCAGGGTGGGGCTTCCATTTATCCACACCTAAAACTATGCTAAATCCCAGTACTGCAGACCCTAGATCCAGCCACCTCCAAAAAGCCACACCTATGAATGCGTGAGGCTTTGGGGGACATCTACATTATAAGCCATAAGAATCCGCTCCCCATTGGGGTCTCCTGAGAGAAGAGTGTCTTCCTTCCCTGAATTCGGTTTTTGCTTCTCCTCTTCTCTCTTCTCCTCTACTATAGTTGACTATCCCTTATTCATAATGCCCTCGATCAGAGTGTTTCAGATTTGGGGGTTTCTTTGGATTTTGAAATATTGCAAAAACACAACGAGATACAGTTTTACCTCTTACAACTTAATTTATTCCATGGTTTTGGGAAAAACAGCTATGTTTGTGGTTGTGTGGGAAAGATGATCAGGGTCAGATTTATCATTTGATGTAGAGTTTGCAAACAAAAATAAAATTTTGCCAAGCACTTTTGCTTGTGAATCAAATTGTTCACAAATAAAATTGTTTGGGAACTGAAGTACCACTCTTTCTCGGGGTTGGAACTCAAGTCTGTTTTGTACACATACCTTACACATGTGGCCAGAAGGTAGTTTTATATCACATTTTTAATAATTTGTATATGAAACAAAGTTTGTGTACATTGAGCCACCAGAGGATGGGTGTGGAATTTCCTACTTGTGGCATCCTGTCTTTGCACAAAACATTTCAGATGTCAGAACATTCTCAATGTCAGATTTTCAGTTAGGACTGCTCAGCCTGTACAGTGTTTGTCATCTTTTATTTGCAGTCCCAAGGAAGAAAGGAGCTGCACTCCCTCTCCCCATAAGGCAGGCAGAGGTGAGCAGTTGCCCAGTGCAGCCTTGGTGGGTGTAGGGCTCCCATCAGCCCTCTGCAGCGTCATAGCCTGAGGCATTGGCTGCAGGGCTCTGCTCACTTTGGCTGAGCTTCACTAAGTGGCTCTCTGCTGTAGGTTGGGCACATCTGCTCTTATTTTCTCTGCACTAACAGGCTGTTCCTCTTTTCTTTTTATGGCAGTAGCAGAGGAGTGGAAGGGCTGAGCAGAAATAAGACCCAGCTCAGAGTCAATAGACAAAGCAAGTCAGTGGCCAGACTCACAATTAAGGGGAGGAATGAACCAGCCAGCTTTTACTGGAAAAAACACAGATCAGGGAAGGGGGAAGATGGGGATGAGTTATTCAGCTTTGCAGAAGCATGATTGCTGACTGGATACTGTAAGCATCAGAAGAAATGGACCAGCAGAAAATAAACTGTGGAAAAGGTCATTAATAAAAAGACAAACTAAAACAACACAATAATATAGAAGGAAAAGAAGAGAATAGAAAAGATCTGAGCAACTTTGACATGCAATTCAGAATCTGATCTTTATAGAATAGAAACCTCAGAAATTTTATGGCTTTCATAAGGCAGAACCACTAAGTAAAGAAATTATAGAAGAAACTTCCTTGTTTGAAGCAAAACATTAATCTGTAGATCTTCTAGCAATAAATGTAACCTAATGCAGACATTCGAGTGTTTCTAGAGTTTAGACCATGTCTAATTCTTTATGTCTAGGCCACTTTGATAAAGCTGTCAAATAAAGCATGCATACTTGCAATTAGACATGTGTCTATTTCTCTAGATATCTTCAAGGAGAAAGAACATAATCACCTAATTCTAAGATTCTTTATAAAAATCAGGAGATATACAAGAAGTTACATGTTTACAGAGACATTTTTTCTTTTCTTCTTTCCTTTCCTCCCTCCTTTCCTTCTATTTTTTGTTTTGTTTTTCTGTACTGGGGACTGAACCCAGGACCTTTGTACTGAACTATATCCTCAGCCCTTTTAATTTTGATACAGAGTCTCACTAAGTTGCCTGGGCTGGGCTTGAACTTGTGATTCTCCTGCCTTAGCCTCCCAGAGTCCTGGGATTATAGGCATGCAGTGCTGCACCTGATATAAAGACATGTTCTCTTCCAAAATGCTTGTTACACATTGGTGGTTGTTGATATGTAGAATATCATTTCTCTTCCGAAAGCAGCTTCCTCAGGGAAGTCCACAGGAAAAGATGGAAGAAGAAAGAAAGAAGGAAAGAAAGAAAGAAAGAGGGAAAGGGGAGAGGGCAGAACAGTGGGAAGAAGAAAGGAAGGGAAGGAACATATAATTATAATATTGAAGCCTGAGCATTATAATCACCTGAGAAACTTGTTTAAAAAATTTCCAGGCCTCTTCCCAGAAATTTCATTCAGTGACCTAAGTAAGGAGCCCTGGAATATGTGTTTTTGTAAGGAGTACTCCAGATGATTCTGTTATGTGTCCAGAATCAAGAATGATTTCTATACATGGGGAAAAAATAGACTATGGATTAAATCCCATTTTA